CTTCGTGTGTGTGTGTGTGTGTGTGTGTGTGTGTGTGTGAAACTAGGCAACAACTTCAGGCATGTTTTGAATGGCGGGTCTTTGGTAGTCTGGTGTGTAGCAGAGAGGGAGGTGATTGGGCGACGCAGCGAGGCGTAGGGGGCTGCAACGGGCGGGAAAGTATTGCTGGCGAGAGGGAAATCATGCGATTAATGGGCGTGAGAAACAAGCGAGATCATGTGAGATGCGTTGAGATTTGAGATAACGATGAGGTGGAGGGAGAGTGAAGTCCGGTGATCGTTGAGTACATGGGCCGTTGTAATGACACGTCCGAAGCGAAGGGTTGTGGAGTCGAGCGCGCGTGAAAAAGGGGAGCGGCGGAAGGGAGGTAAGAGGGCCGTTGTCATCAGCAGCTGAGGGGGCACGCTGTGGTCGTTCTCTCGATTCCTCGCGTTGACCTCGAGGACTGGGGGCCGCTGATTACGGGCCCCCGAGGTCTCTGATCCGATCAATGGTGGTGGTCCCGCTCCCAGGGAGCGGAAGTATGCCTAACGAACTTTGCGGGCGCGATTGGGCGAATGGTGGGCATGCGGAAGGAGGACCTCTCCCGCTTGGGCTGCAGTCCCACCACCAGCAGCAGCTCCCGGGTTCGGCACGCGGACCAGGGCGGCACCATGTGGCTGTTAGCAAGACGGGAGGAGGGGTTTGTTGGGGGGGGCGCTACTCGCACGAAGAGAGGAGATCGAATCTGGAGGAAGAGGGGCAATCAGACGCAGAGGAGCAGGGGAATCACCACCTGCAATCGCGCCGAGGCGAGGCGATAGATGTGTCATCCTCTGGGAGATGGGGTGATGACTGTGATGATCGTGAGGGAAATCATGGAGGCAGCTGGAGGGGAGGAGAGGGAGGAATCTCTCAGCATCGGCATTTTCGAGGACACTATCGCCATCGTCTCTCTCCTCCTATTCGACCAGAGCGGATCTTGTCGGAGCGGGGATTTTCAGACAGAAGGGAGGAGGAGAGAAGGGAGGAGGAGAGAAGGGAGGAGGGAGGTGGCGGGAGTTCGACGATCGATGACACAGGGGGGGGGGCGGCTGACATAGATCGATGGGAAGGGGGGCCAGCAGCAGATGGTACAGGAAGGTGCCTCCTGCTTGGCCAATCACCGGTCCGTCATCATCTTCATCCTCCTACCTCTCCGCCGACTTCTCCTTGTTCTCCCACTCCCTTGCGGGGTGAAGAAGAGCGTAACGTAATGGGGGAGGCAGCGAGTCCACGTGGCAGACGATCGAATTGGGCGTCGTCGGCGACAGGTGGTTTCTTGCCATCCGTGATCGTTGGAAATAAGGAAGTGATGGGATCGGGATCGAGGTCCAGGTCGTCGACGTCGGTGGCGAGATTGCTCCCTGTAGAAGGTGGTAGTGGATATGATGGGAGGAGAAGGGGGGGATGGGAAATAGCTGAGCATGAACTGTACCCAAGGAGGACGGCGGCGTTGATGACGACCTGGACAACGAGGAGGAAGAAGACGATGACCACGAGAACGAGGACGACGGCGATGGCGAAGCGGTTGCTGAAGATGGACACGGAATCTGCGGGATGGGCGGCGAGGGCATATGGCATCTCGCTTGAGAGTTTGATGGGCATGGTGGCCGTGAAGGGAGAGGAGGAGGAGGAGGAGGAAGAGAAAGGAGTGGAGGAAGAGGAAGAAGAAGTGGAAGAAGAGGAGGAAGAAGTGGAAGAAGAGCGAAGGGTCCATTCTGTGCTCATGAGCGGCAACGAGTGTGATTACCTCTGGAGAGGCGGCGGCAGTAGTAGACCGATGGGGGTAAACAGGGTGGGAGAACATTATCTAGGAGGAGGAGGGGGAGGGGGAGATCATGACGGGCAAGTTAGGGATAGTCGAAGGATGCGCAGCGAGATGTCAGCTGGTGGCGGTGCAGAACGGGAAAAAGGCGGAGGGGCTGCCGCAGTTCGTGCGGATCTAGTGTCATTGGGCGATGATGGTTGCGCAAGCGCGGGGGTGGCGGAAGAAGGGGAGCTGGTGGAGAGCGAGGATGGAGAAGAGGAGGAGGTAGCTGAAGGGGAGGATGCCTGGGGTGAAGACACGACGAGCAAGCATTTCGTCCGAAGAAAAAGCGCGGGAGATGATCGCCTTGGAACTAGTCTCTCTTTGGAGAGGACTAGCCCATCATCACCCACGACCCTTCAAAGAAGAGAGCTCAACAAAAACTGCAATGATAGACAAAACCGAGCTCGGATGCCGATTGAGCGTCATCTGAATGATCCTTGGGGAGCAGAAGGCGGCGGCGGCGGAGGAGGAGGAGGAGGTGGAGTAGTGGAGGAGGATGCGTCGAATGAGGCGCACAGAGACTGGCGCCGTTTTGGCGGGAAAGAGTTTGGGTTGAATGGCCATGTACTGGGTGAGAGGAGGTGGTCGATGCTGAATGCTTGGCGCCGTTTTGGCGGGAAAGAGTGCAAATGGGGGGAAGAAGGGTCGATGATGAACGAAGGTAGAGTGGGTGGCGGCGTTTTGGCGGGAAAGAGTGCAAATGGAGTTGGCGACTTTTTGGCGGGAAAACTTTCTGCTGGCGGTGGGGTCGACGCAAGGGAGGAGGGAGAGGAATGGAGGAGGCGCCAGAAAAGCGCGGGAACAGTGGCTGCTGCTGAGTCTCCTGCACTGATTAGTGGACGCCATGTCTCGAGCTCGCGAGCGCGACGAACTGAAATGGACAGCGACTGGCAGACCGGGATTGGGATGGCGAATTTGGCGGGAGTCATTGGAGGGCGGGGAGCTGGAAAGGGGGGGGTGTTAGTATCGGGCAGGATGCCCGCTGTGTCAGCGGCGGAAGTAATGGACGCTCTTCCCGCCGAAGAGCGAGCCTCGTTTATGAACACCTGGCTGTCGTTGGCGACACGACAAGAAGAGAATTTGGTCGACCGCGCAAGAGGTGGTGCTTTGACTCGAAGAAGGCCTTCCTTGGACCGGGATAGGGACCGCGATGATGACGTGGACATTGCGGCTAGGGGCATAGGAGGAGGAGGAGAAGGAGGAGGAGAGGTTATTCACCACCACGAGGACGATGAATCAACGGTCCGACTTCCTACCCCTCGAATGGGAGAGAGCAGATTTGTCCAGTTCCAGAGGGAGGTGTTGACAAGAGAGGGAAGACTCGAGCAACCCGGCGAGGAAGAAGGAATTCAGGAGATCATGGCTAGGGATGAAGTGGTGATTGACACTGCACATGAGAAGCTGCTGAGCTTGCGACGGGGGAGACGGGATCTCATGAGGGCGGCGGCGGACGGGCTTCGTAAGAAGGGTGGAGGAGTGGGGAGGCAGCGGCGGGAGATAGGTTTGGAACGCCGCTCGGCAGAGATGAGTAGGTTCATGGAATGGGTCGACGAGAGAGGGGCTCTCGAAAGAGGCGAGGAGATGGGCTACGAGGGCCGAGGAGGACGTGGAGGAGGCGATGAAGAGGAGAGGGATTCGACGCCCATTGGTTGGCAAACCCTTGCTATTCCTCCTCCTGGTGCACCATCTTCTCGTGAGGGTCGTGCGTATGGTAATGATGATGATGATGATGATGATGATGATGAGCATTGTCATTCCTTCCCTGTGTCCTCTAGGCAACGGGGCATGTCATCGAGTGAAGGCTTCTGGGAGATAGGAGAGAGACCTTTGGCTAGGGCGCCAGCAGTCGATGTCGATGGTGGAAACAGCCACACGTTCGACTCAGCAGCACGAGTCGGGATCAGAACCCGTTCAGCTCCCGACTTGTGCAGAGGGGGGAGGGGTGTTGGGTCCGTGGGCGTTTCGAGAATGATGCCGACCAAGGCGGGAGGAGAGGAGGTCGTTGCTGTCCGTGGTCGTGAAGATGGGTGCCGGCAAGGAGGGAGCGGAGGAAGAGGAGGAGGAGAGGGAGAGAGAGAGAGGGATTTTGTTCGTTGTGGTAGTCGCGGCCGCCTTGCCCAGAACGCGGCGCAGCCAAGCGGGGGAGCATTCTCTCTTGCCCAGAACGCGGCGCAGCCAAGCGGGGGAGCATTCTCTCGTTCATCGATGGCATGTGTCGAGGATGTGAGGGGAGGAAAAGGAGTGGGGACGACGAGCTCATGGTTTCAGTATCAATATGAAGATGATGACGATTATGGTACGACGATGGTATCCAGGAGCGGGTTTCCGTCGCTGGTGCCTAGCGATGACGGGCGAAAAGGGGCGGCGGCGATTTCCAGCGAAGCAGAGGGGATAGAGACGCGGGATTTTGGTTCATCGAGGAAGAGGAGGCGGGAGTATTCAGGGGGGGTTGAGGAGAATACAAAGTTTGCTGGAGCGGCGCAGCGAGAGTGGTCGTTGGGCGGGGAGAAAAGCCTTGCGCTGTCTGAAGATTCCCTTGAGAATACGCTTAGTCGAGAAGAGAGGTGGGCGGCGGCAGACGCTGGAGGAGGAGGGGGTGGTTGGAGCAATGGGAGGGCGGTGCCACTGATCGAAAGACTTGGAGTAGGGGGCGAAGGAGGAGGAGGAGAAGGAGGAGGAGAAGGAGGAGGAGAAGGAGGAGGAGGAGGAGGAGGAGGGGAGGCATTGCCGTTGTCGTCATCTAACTGGCTGGTAAACAGCGGAATAACAACAGCAGCTTTGTTCGGTCGGCGATTGAGAAGCGAGGGGGATGTCTCTTCTCCTTCTCCACCTGTTCCTTCGGTATATCCGGTGGCGGAGTTTCCGGAGGGTGTAGCGGACGGCTTCGACAACGTGGGAGAGAGGAGTATGCCTGGTTCCAGACAATACTGCGTGGAAAGAGAAGGCTTGACGGAGGTTTGTGGGAGAGAGGAGGAGGCGGCGGAGGAGGAGTTGGAGGAGGGGGAGGCGGAGGAGGACGGGGAGGAGGAGGAGGAGGAGGAGGAGGAGGAGGAGGCGGAGGAGGAGGAGGTGGAGGCCCGTAGGAATAGTATTGCGGACCAGGGTGATGGGATCCTATCAGCTTATTCTATGTCGGCAATGACGGTCCCGATCGACGGTCGGGATAAAGCTGCTATGGAAGCTCAAGACGAAAGCGAAGTCAAACCCGGAGGACCGACGTCTACTTCATGTGGGGAGGAAGGCGATGCCTTGGCTTTCCTGAGAGAGATGGCGAAGCTGGTCTCATCGGGATACGGACTCGACAAGTGTATCAAGCACATGGAAGGAGAGGCGGCGCCGCCTTACTCCCCCCCTCCTCCTCTTCCTCCTTCAGACGTGGATCATGACCCGGAATCACTGCTGGCGACCCCATTGCAACGCCCCTTTTTGGGTGCTACTGGTAGTGAAGATATGGCTGTTAGATATGGCGGCCAATCAACGGCCAATCAACGCCCCTTTCCCCCTGCGACTGCGAGCGGCAACAGTGCGACCTTGAGAACAAGAAGGAGAAAGAAGGGCGATGAAGAGGGAATCGCAGTGTTAGAGGATATTAGTAATGATGATTACGATGGATTTGATGAACATGATGAGTATGGGGCTGATCGTGGTGGTGATGGTGGTCGTTGTGGTGTTCAGCACGATGAGGGGGAAGGGGAACATAAAGGTGGGCGAAAGTTGGTGCACATGTCAGACCCCTGCTTTGCATGGAAGGGTGAGCGTGCGCCATCAGCAACGGCCTTAAACAGGGCGAAGTTTGCCATCGAAGGGGGGGGTTCTCATCAATCGAAACGAACCCTACCATCGGGTTTCAAGGTGGGCAGTGGGAGAGAGGGGGGGGGTCAAATTGAGGATGCCCCGTCTATGCTGGGGCAGAGTGGTGTTGTGCCAGAGTGGGGATTTGCTCGGGACGGCTATGGTGAGGGAAACAATTACGGAGCAACTCGGATGAAAGGGATCGAGGAGGGAAAAGACATGATGATGGGGGAGGGCGAAGAGGAGGAGGAGGAAGAAGAAGAGGAGGGTGAAATCGCTTATCGGGAGAAGATGGAGAATGGGAAGGGGGTGATGATGATGGAAGAGGGTGAGGAGGAGGAGGAGGAAGAAGAGGAGGGGGAAATCGCTTATCGCGGTAATAGGGAGAATGGGAGGGGGGTGATGATGATGATGGAAGAGGGGGGGGAGGAAGAGGAGGAAGGGGAGATCGTTGCCCGCGAGCCGCAGAGGTGCCGAATGCCCAAGATGGATGTACATAGCTTGGATTCAAATGCACGCCTCAGATTTTGTCGGACTAATGAAGCAGCCAGGGCGAGGGGTCAGGCAAAGTTGTCTAAAGCTGCGGTTGATCTCCTAGGAATGGAGAATGAGGGGGAGGAGGGAGACGTGAGAGGAGATGAAGAGAGAGAGAATATGAAGGAGAACGGGAGGTGCGGGCGAGATGGGAGTAGAATGTGTGGGGCTCTGGCGGAGAGGGGTGTTCGTCCGCCCAGTGAAAAAGGAGGCATTGTAATTCCGTCTGAGAAGTTGGGGCAACTACGTGGCAATGTCTCCGATGAGAACGATCTTCTTGATGAGAGTCACGTGTTCGGGGCGGCGGACGGGGAGCGGTGGCGGGTTGAGAAGGATGTTATGGTGTCGCTAGAGAAGGTACCGTTGTTGACAGGTAGAGAAGCCACCGGCTTGAGGGTGAGTAAGAAGAGGAACGAAGGGATGGCTGAGAGGATAGAGGGTATCGTTAGGGGGAAGGAGGGGGGGGTGGAAGGGACGGAAGCGAAAGACGAGGTCGGCTGTAAGCGACATACCTGCTCTGTACGGATGGCGAAGGAACACGGCTCGATCACAAACGAAGCAGCATCGGCAGTGGAACTGCCGTTCCCCTCCTCAAGGAGAGTGGAACATTTCGAAGAGGAGGTCGTTGCAATGGACTCGCCTGTAGCTATAACCTCCGATCACAATGAGATAGATTCTGAACAAACAGAACGTGCAAACGACGTGGCAAGTGGTGGGGGACAAGGAGATGGCCTGGAAGACCAAGAGGGAGAGGGGGAAGAGGATGATGACAACCTTTACGAGGTTAGCGGCGGCAAAGGGCAATCATGTCGCATTCGTCTCGGAGAAGTGGAGGTTGCTGCGACGGACATGACAGACGGCTATCTCGGCAATATCGACGCAGATGCTAATGATTATCATGGTGATAGTGGTCATGATGATGGGGAGGAGGATGTGGAGGAGGATGAGGAGGAGAATGAGGAGGAGGATGAGGAGGAGGAGGATGAGGATATGATCCTGCTCTTGCCTGATAATGATCCGCATTTCGTGCGAGAGGAGAAGCCGATGCTGTGTGTGTCGACGTGGCAAGATCTCCACTCTTCTGCCGATTCCGCGAGCATGCAAGGGGTGGGGGGAGGCGCGTACAGTCCATGGATTGGGTCCACCCTTCAAAACCCCGGGTTCACTGGCAGGACCGTTAGCGCATTGCCCAGTTGTGCAGCGGGGCGAGTGTTTGGCCTTGGAGGACCAGGAGCAGGAGGGAGTAGTCGAGCAACCCTGCTTCGAGGCGGCGGGTCAATCATGACGCCGATGACGATGATGATGACCCCACGCCATGCGATCCCTTCTATTACACCGCACAAGCGGTTATGGAACCAGTGGGTTGCTTCGCCATCGGCGACTTGTCAGCGCACACAGCAGCAGGGCCATGGGGCGCCGGGGGCCGCGGGCGAGGGGGAAGCGAGTCCGATGGGCGAGGGGGAAGTGTGTCCGACGGGCGAGGGGGAGGCGACCGCCTTGAATACGACGGACGAGGAGGGGCCACCGTCGGTGCATGTCGGCGGAGAGGGGGAAGCGATGGAGATGTTGAGAGGCGAAGGCGGCAATCGGACGATGGGGAATTTGATCGGAGAGATGACGGTGGAGAATGCGACGGACAAGATGGAAATGGAGCTCGCTGAGGCGGTTGGGGAAGTAGCAACTCACGAGAGCAACGATCCAGTAGAGGAGGAAGGGGAGTCCTGCGGCCCGATGGAAACAAGCAACAAGCGGAGGCGTTGCAGCATGGTGGAGGTCGGGGTGTTGAAGTACGGGCAGGAGAGGGAGCAGCAGCAGCAGCAGACGGAGCTTCGCTCGGCGGGTTGTGAACAAGAGGAGGAGGGGTTACAGAGTCTGCACAGCAAGTCTATGGAATTGGTAGGTGAAGGTCCTCCGGGACCCTTAGGAGGATTAGTGAGTGGAAGCAACGAGGAGGCTTCTTGCATGGACGAGGAGGGTTATGAGTTAGGACGCAGGAAAGATGCTGATTGTGGCTATCATGATGAGGGATCGGTACCTGGGCAGCGGGAGGAGGGGGAGGATAGATATGGCGAGCTGTATGCATCTTTGGACGGGGGTAAATTGGCGGGGCATGGCCACGGAGAGAGTGGAGCTCATCAGGAGCAGCAGCAGCAGCAGCAGCAATATCAAGAGGAGAAAGACAAAGAGAGGAAGAAGAACAAAGAGAAAGAGAGGAAGAAGAAGAGCCCTGCCGAATTGAACGCTACCTTGAAGGCACTTTTGAGTAAGTTTGTCAACCAAGGAGAGTTTGTGATGGATGCGTCGCCCGAGAGGGAGAGGGGGCAATCGTCATCGTCGGCAGTTTCGGGCACAAAGGTAGGGGAGGGCACTAACGACGAGGAACAGAAAACGGATGGGTTGAGTCCAGAGGTGCTAACGAGAAGTGTAGGACGTGGAAGGACAGCAGCAGGAGCAGCAGGAGCTGCTGCGGCCATGGCTATTTATAGTTCTGGCGATCGTAGCAGAGGTGGTGCTTCGGCCACTGTTGTTTCCACTCGGCGAATTGCACAGCCAGAGGAGCAGCAGCAGCTGCTGCAGCGCGGAGTTTCTACTGCAGTTGGTGCCACCAAGAATTCCGGGCATGACGTTGTGGTGGCGGATGTTGCCTCTCGGATTGCACACACAGACACAGGACCAGGTAATGCTGGCGGGGTCTCTTCAAGAGTGAGAGAGCTCGTCGGTCGTGAACACTCGTCATCGTTACGGTATTTGCAGCAGCAGCAAGAGGGGGACGTTCGCGAAGTGCGCGTATCTGCAGCTGCGGTACTAGGTGGCACTGCAAGATCATCAGCATCAGCATCATCATCACTGCAGTGTTCGCTGGTGCCAACGATGCCTAGCGGGGTAATGGTGGGGTCTCTCCAAAAGCGCTCACCAGTCGCGAAAGCTGCTGCAGTGCCATCAGCAGTGCGAGTGTCACCGGTCTCGTCGGTTCAACAGCATCAGTTGTTGTCCCGCATGCCAGTGGGTGGGCGGGGAGCAGTGGGGGTGCCATCTCTTCTGAACCCAACCTCTCTGCCAAGACCGAGGGTGTGGTCTCGAAAATGGTGCAGAGAGGATTGTGTGGCCCCAGGTGCTGGTTCTGCAAACGTCCCCAGTGGAGCGGCGACAGAGGGAGCAGGGGTGGCCGCCCATCACACCACTACGGCGGGAAAGATGATGGGAAGGCCGTCGGGGTCGTCATCGCCAGAACAATACGCTGCAAGTGCATCCTCCAAAACTGCATCTTCCCCTCTGCTTGGCATAAAGCCGACTGCCGGCCCATCATCTCCTGTTGAACTGGCCCCCAGCAAACGAATTTGTACGAAATCTACCTTTGTTGTTGGCGGTCAACATGAGAGCATGCTGGTCTCCTCCTCTGTTGCAGAGGGGCGGCAGGCTGGGAGTGCTGCTGTAACCTCGGCCTCTGGCTTGTCGGGTAGTTTGCTCTCTACGTCTCTGCCTCCCTCACGGCTTTCCTTGCAGATCAGCAGCAGTGCGGTCACAGGGTCACCTGGAGGATCATCATCATCTGCTCTCCATCCTCCTGCTCCTTCTCTTAGGCCATCACAATTGACCAAGTGCACCAGTGGCGGCGGCACCCCCATGACTTCTCCCTCTTCCCTTTTGCAGCATCTTAGGAACAGAGTGAGCAGTGGGCTGAACTCGTCCCCATCCTTGCTTTCCCATGGAGCAGCTGTGGAGAGTCCGATGGCGAAGAAGCGAATAGTCTCGGCATCAGCTCTGGGTGGCGGGGAGTGTGAATATGTAAGGATTGGCAATAGTTTGGTAAGATCTCCGAGTATGGCCTCGAAGGTGATGACTGGGTCATCCTCAATGCTGGGTGTATCTGCCATGGGCCACATTATGTCCGGGAATGGAGGTAGCAACGCCCCGTGCCCCCTTCCTATGCGCAGCAGCACAAGTGCGGCATCCTTGACCTCAGCAGCAGGAGCAACAGCAGTGCGGTCATCACCCCTAGGTTGTCATGTAGCAGTGGGGCAGCTGGGGCAGCGGAAAGTAATCACGTCACAGGCGACCACATCAGCTAGTGTAGTTACACGGGTAATTCCTGGGACACCCGGTGCAGCTGGCCGTCTCCAGCAACAGCAGCAGCAACAGGTACAGCAACAGATTAAGCAGCAGGTACAGCAGCAGCAGCACCCAAAACATCAGCAGCGGCAGCAGCAGGAGCAGCGGGAACAGCAGCGGCAGCAGCAGCAGCAGCAGCAGAAACAGCAGCAAAAACAGCAGCAAAAACAGCAGCAAAACCAGCAGCAGGAACAGCAGCAGCGTCAGAAGCAGCAGAAGCAGCAGCAGCAGCACCAGCAGCCGAAAGAGAAGCAACAGCGAAAACAGCAACATCAGCAGCAGCAGAAAGAGAAACAGGAGCAGAACCAGTGGCAAGAGGAGAAAAGGCAATTGCCTCCACAGCAGCAGGTGCACCAACAGCAGGAGCAGGAGCAGGAGCAGCACCAACCACAGCAGCAGCGGCAGCAGCAACAGCAGGAACAGCAGCAGCAACAGCACGAACAGGAGCAGCAACAGCACGCACGGCAGCAGCAACAGCAGGAACAGCAGCAGCAACAGCACGCACGGCAGCAGCAACAGCAGGAACAGCAGCAGCAACAGCACGAGCAGGAGCAGCAACAGCACTCACGGCGGCAGCAACAGCACGCACGGCAGCAGCAGCAGCAACAGCAACAGCACGAACAGCTGCAGCAACAGCACGAGCAGCAGCACCAACAGCACGAACGGCAGGAGAAACAGAATGAACAACGTGAGCAAGAGGCACAGGTGGTTCTCAGATCACACAGCATTGGCGGCAGTGATGGCAATGACAGAGTACCCCGGCATGCGTGTTCTATTTCAGAAATGAACTTGCAGGACTCGACTGCCACACCAGCAGCTCATCATCATGAAGTGCTGCCTGCGAAAGTGGATGCTACACGGGTAACTGATTCAGCAGTAAACCTTCAGGACCCGGGTGTCATATCAGCAGCTCATCAGCAGGAGCTACCGGCTGGGAAAGGGGATGATACGCAGGGAAGAGCGAGAGAAGGCGGAGTTTCTTCTGTTACCGTATCGTTAGAATCTCCCTTTAGTGATACAGCAGTGAACTTGCACGACTCGGCTGTCATATCAGCGGCTCATCATGAGGAGCTGCCAACTGTGAAAGGCGATGATGAAGCGCAGGTAACAGCGAGAGAAAGTGGAGTTTCTGTTGCTACTATATCGTTGGTACCTCCCTCTAGTATGGTAACGGACTCAGCAGTGAACCTGCAGGACTCGGCTGTCGTACCAGTAGCTCATCACCAGGAGCTGCCAATTGGGGAAGGGGATGATGATACACAGGCAGGAGCAAGCGAAGGTGGAGTTTCTGCTGTCACCGTATCGTTAGAATCCACTAGGGGAGGACAAGGTGCTGGTGCGTCCATGACTGCTGCTGTGTGTAGGCCTTCGCTGAATGATAAGTTGGAATTGGCAGCTGGGACTGTACCTGTTGCTGCGAACGACGGAGGACTTCCGATTGGGAAAGGCAATGATACACAGGTAACGGTGACAGAAGGTGGAGTTTCTGCTGTTACTATGTCGTTAGTATCCTCTAGGGGGAAGGAAGACGCTGATGCGTCCAAGACTGCTGTGGTGTGTAGGCATTTGCAGAATGATAAGTTGGGGTTGGCAGGTGGGACTGTACCTGTGGCTGTGAACGACGGAGGACTAGTGAATAAGAAGAGGAGTGAGAAGATAAAGGCTGTAGGTAAAGAGCAGGTCAATGAACTTGCTGTGACTGTGTCTACAACTGTTAATAATGGCAGATTAGTGAATGAAGAGAATCCTAAGGGGATGCGGGTGGTACCGAAAGGGCTAGCACATGGGCTGAATGATTTGGGGAATGATCCATCACCATCAATACCGCCTGCTCCAGAAGGGGCTCTTGAGATCATAGTTAGGAGCTGCTCTACTGCAGGACCTGGTGATGCGCGTAAAAAGGAAGGCTCGGAGTCAGCTGCAGCAGCAGTACTGTGGGGAGTACAGCCGGCTGCAGAGCCCGGGTATGCATCAGCTGCTGTTAATGTGCCGTCGCAGGTGTGCGCATCACAATCAGTTGTGGTGGAGATGGAACTGCCACGGCAAGCAATGGTGGGGAGAACAGATGGGGAGGAGCAGGCGAGTGGTGATACTGGTTTGGGAGAAACAGGGATTGAACAAGGGGCTATGGAAGAAGGGATGGTTTTCCTTCAGCAGACAAGATCATCGCCTCCCCAGAATATGATCTCTGTTTCTGGCATCGAGCGATCTGCCAGGAGTGATGAGCATGATGATGGTGGTACGAGTATTGATGACCGGTGTGATTTCCAAGCAGCAGGTACTTTGAGCACCTCGGGGGCTGAGACTACTTTGCCGACCAGTTCAAGCGATGGACTCGCTGATGCTGATGTGAGTATGGGTGGTCCATGTGATTTGCGAGTGGGGACTATTTGCGCCTCAGGGGATGGCACACCCGAAGTTGATGCTGGTCCGCTGATGTCTAGAGGCGGCGGGGATGCTGTGCCCGGGCCAATGTCAAGGAATCCTCTTTGTAGTGCAACTGCCTTAACTGTCCCTGCTGGTGCAAGACAGGTTAACGGAGATCAAAATCTTGCACGCGATGCGGGAGTGGCTTGTTCAAATAATGAAATGCAAAATGCAGAAGTCAAAGAAGGGTGCATCTTAGTGGTGCCCATGCCACTTTCGAGTTCACATGCAAATATGGTGGATGGGTGTGAAATATCCCATGGTGTGCAAGCAGCAGCAAAGCAAAGGCTACCGGTAGCATCGACCCTGCAGAGTGGGGTACGCAAAACTGTTGGTGTTGTTAGGTGCCATCGATTTGCATCTACGGCGGTAGAACCCATGGTAGCAGCACGTCCCCAAGTACCGCAGTGTCAGGTCTTGAGCCCGTCAACTGTTAACCACATTGCAGGAGGGCCAGAAGGAGAAGCTGTAATGGGAGAAAGAGAAGAAGGAATTGAAGGAGGACCTGAACCAGCAGGACAAGCTGCAATTGAAGCAAGTGAAACAGGAATCAGAGGGGAAGGTGGTACAGGTGTTTGCACAGGGACAGACTTAACGAAGGCATCCAAGGAAGATGGGATGGAAGATATGTTGCTCTCACTGCCATCCTCATCCAACCGAGACTGCACTGGGTGCGGTCCCGATGATGACAATGGTTGTTGCCGTAAAGATGGAGATGATAATGGTACATGTGTTTGCACAGGGACAGACACGACGAAAGCGTCCAAGGAAGATGGGATGGAAGATGTGTTGTCCTCGCTGCCATCCTCATCCAACCGAGACTGCACTGGGTGCSGTCCCGATGATGACAATGGTTGTTGCCGTAAAGATGGAGATGATGATGCTGACGATGGTGTCGGGCTGGAAGTCCGTGATCGATTATTATCGAACAGGAATGGGCTGTCGTCTTCTGCAAGTTCCTCGACCAAGGGTGGGAAGAATCATAGCTTAGGTCCAGGCGCTGCAAGTGGTAATCGGGGCGCTCCAAACGGAAACGCTATGGCCAGATTGGCAGATGCTGAAACCAACGCAGGCATGGAGGGTGCTTCTGGGAGATATGATGGAGTTTGTCTGTCTGGCAATGTGCCGGAACGACAGGTGGTAGGTGTGAATGGGACTTGCATAGCAGGAAATGAAATAAGTACGAGCAGGGAGGTTGATGTGGTTGGACATGGGGGAAAGCAGGGGGAAAGAGTGACAGAGACGGAAGCTTTACAGAAAGGGGGAAGAAGAGAAACGAGGGACAAAGTGGCGCCTGTGCACCCGTTGCATGAGAGTGCGTCCTCGTGCTCAGGATCTTCGAATTGCGGGCGGGCAGGTGAGCAGGTTGTGGTTGTTCCTATAATCGCGCCCAAGACAAGTGCAGGCCAGAGGCCATGGGTAGGAGCTTGCCTCCAAAATTCTGCATCTATGTCCAAACAGAAGGTGCTTCTTGGGCCCCCGGTAAATACGGTAGTGGCAAGTGCCAGGGAGCAAACCAAGGGTGCTGGATCCATGGCCACGTGCGTGGCTGTGACGACCCCTATAAGCTTGGGACGTGTTTGGATGGGAAATGATGAAAGGGCAGGGCGGGCAGTGATGGGCCGTGGCATTAGATCTATTCTGACAAAGCAATTGTCAAGGTCAGGGTCTTCCTTCACACGCCTTGTGAAAAAGAACGGGAAAATAGTTTTCGACTCCCCAGCGAAGTATGTGAGGTTGCGGGCAAATCAGCTTGTGGCAGTGAATGCAAGTGCCTCACACCCTTTGTCAGCTGGCAAGGGAATTCAACTACGGAATACTTACGTCAAGAGCAAAGTGAATCAACTTGTTCGCAGCGGGGTTTCCTGTGGGGTCTCTATGTCGACTGCCCCTGGGATGGTTGGCCTTGGAGTGCGGACAGGAGCGGTCCTGAGCTCGCCTTCAAGGAAAGTGAGCCCTTTATCCAGCTCAAGAGCACGGCAACGCCTCAGAGGTGAGAAGTAGAGGCTGTATGGTTACTTGTTTGATCATTTACTTTGTTGCTTGAATGAATGACGGCGGAAATGGCTGTTTGATGGATTGAATGGTTGATTGGCCGACGGTTGGTTACTCCGTGACCTGCTTGACTGCATCCTTGATTGCGTCCTCTGATTGCTTCCTTGACTGCTTTGCTTCATTGCTTCCTTGATTGCTTTGCTTGATTGCTTCGTGAGAGATGATTGGTCTGTATGATAGAGTAACTGATGGCTTGAATAATTGGTTAGTCCTTAGGTGGTTATTCCAGGACTTTGATAACCATATAGGATCAGCGGAAAGACTGCCAATAAAGGCAATAAATGGTCAGTTAATGATTTGACAAGTTCATTGGTACCTTATATACAAAATGACAACTGCTATTGCGCAAATGCTTGATTGATAATTTTGAGCACAAGTACTTAGTTAGTCTGGCTTCATACTAGCAGCAGATTTATCTGGATAGGGTGATGGGTAGGAAGGTAGGGCTGGGTTCAGCCTTGGGCAATTCGCTCATTTGTTGGGGAAGTGTTCCAAGGTGGCAGTGTTCATAACATTATTGCTACTTCGGTTTGGTGCATATGATCCTCCTTCGCTCTTGCTGCTGCTCGGTTCTTTGTGCACTACCCTCTCTCTCTCGCCCTCTTTGTCTCTCTCATGATGTTACTTCGTCCTTACCACTGCTTTGTTCTTCCTGCGCATGGTGCTGTCTCTCTCTCTTTCTCTCTCTCTCTCTTTCTTTCTCTTTCTCTCTCTCTCTCTCGTTCTCTCTCTGTCATTCTTTCCTGTGTTGCATTTTTCTCGTTTTGCACAACATGACTTTTGCCTTTTGGCTGGGGTCTTCGGATATCAGCTACTTTTGGATGTTCGTATATGGCTTCCCTTGTGTGCTAGATATAGCGCTGAGAGGCCTCTAGAGCTTCTTGGTCTCTCTAGCTGATTTTGGCACCCGTATCCAGGGTAAAACGCCCGTGTCCAGGGTGAAACCTGTGCACGATACAAGTCCATGACGCCTGGCTCTTTCTAGAGTTGCGCCCATGGTATCCCTGCAACCACACCACTCACTGCCTTCACCGTCAAAGATTTCAAACCGCCGGATTTTTGGCATCACGCCCATGGTGTCCCTGGAACTGCGCAGCTGCCTTTCACGATGAAGACCTCGAATGATCCGGACCCTTCTTGGCCTTGAGAGACCGTGTAGAGTACAGGAGGAGGCACTCAATCCGTAAGCCCAGCCCCAATTACGAGCAGGCAGTAAATAATACATCCACCCATTTTAAGCCTTAGGCCTTTTGGGCCTGCGGTGTTTGGTGGGGCCGGGTGTTCCTGGCCATCTTCTTACCCAGGTACTGACCGTTTCATCTGACTTTTAGGGACTCCAGCAGTACTCATGATATGTGCTGGGGCTCACCCCAGTAAACACCTAGGTGGTGATATTGAAAGGGGGGGGGAGGGAAAGGGCGTGCTGGGTCTGAAGAAGGTTGTTTGTGACCAACTAGGATACTTCCAACCACGGGCCTGAAAAACTTTGGAAAACAAAAAAAATGTAGTCTACCAGATATCCAGCCTATGGATGTTCG